TGAGACACTGGGTAGTGAGACACTGCTAGTGAGACACTGCTAGTGAGACACTGCTCGTGAGACACTGGGTAGTGAGACACTGGTGGTGAGACACTGGGTAGTGAAACACTGGGTAGTGAGACACTGGGTAGTGAGACACTGGGTAGTGAGACACTGGTAGTGAGACACTGGTGGTGAGACACTGGGTAGTGAGACACTGGGTAGTGAGACACTGGGCAGTGAGACATTGGGTAGTGAGACACTGGGTAGTGAGACACTGGGTAGTGTGACACTGGTAGTGAGACACTGGGTAGTGAGACACTGGGTAGTGAGACACTGCTAGTGAGACACTGGGTAGTGAGACACTGGGTAGTGAGACACTGGGTAGTGAGACACTGGGCGGTGAGACACTGGGCGGTGAGACACTGGGCGGTAAGACACTGGGTGGTGAGACACTGCTAGTGAGACACTGGGTAGTGAGACAGTGCTAGTGAGACACTGCTAGTGAGACACTGGTAATGAGACACTGCTAGTGAGACACTGCTAGTGAGACACAGGGTAGTGAGACACTGGGTAGTGAGACACTGGGTAGTGAGACACTGGGTAGTGAGACACTGGGTAGTGAGACACTGCTGGTGAGACACTGGTGGTGAGACACTGGGTAGTGAGACACTGGGTAGTGAGACACTGGTGGTGAGACACTGGGTAGTGAGACACTGGTGGTGAGACACTGGGTAGTGAGACACTGGGTAGTGAGACACTGGGTAGTGAGACACTGGGTTGTGAGACACTGGGTAGTGAGACACTGGGCGGTGAGACACTGGGTAGTGAGACACTGGGTAGTGAGACACTGGTAGTGAGACACTGGTAGTGAGACACTGGGTAGTGAGACACTGGGCAGTGAGACACTGGTGGTGAGACACTGGTAGTGAGACACTGGTGGTGAGACACTGGTGGTGAGACACTGTTAGTGAGACACTGGGTAGTGAGACACTGGGTAGTGAGACACTGGGTAGTGAGACACTGGGCGGTGAGACACTGGGTGGTGAGACACTGGGTAGTGAGACACTGGTGGTGAGACACTGGTGGTGAGACACTGGTGGTGAGACACTGGGTAGTGAGACACTGGGTAGTGAGACACTGGGTAGTGAGACACTGGGTGGTGAGACACTGGGCGGTGAGACACTGGTGGTGAGACACTGGGTAGTGAGACACTGGGTAGTGAGACACTGGTAGTGAGACACTGGATAGTGAGACACTGGTGGTGAGACACTGGGTAGTGAGACACTGGGTAGTGAGACACTGGGTAGTGAGACACTGGGTAGTGAGACACTGGGTAGTGAGACACTGGGCGGTGAGACACTGGGCGGTGAGACACTGGGTAGTGAGACACTGCTAGTGAGACACTGGGTAGTGAGACACTGGGTAGTGAGACACTGGGCGGTGAGACACTGGGCGGTAAGACACTGGGTGGTGAGACACTGGGTAGTGAGACACTGCTAGTGAGACACTGGGTAGTGAGACACTGGGTAGTGAGACACTTGTGGTGAGACACTGCTAGTGAGACACTGCTAGTGAGACACTGGGTAGTGAGACACTGGGTAGTGAGACACTGGGTAGTGAGACACTGGGTAGTGAGACACTGGGTAGTGAGACACTGGTAGTGAGACACTGGGTAGTGAGACACTGGGTAGTGAGACACTGGGTAGTGAGACACTGGGTAGTGAGACACTGGGTAGTGAGACACTGCTAGTGAGACACTGGGTAGTGAGACACTGGGTAGTGAGACACTGGGTAGTGAGACACTGGTAGTGAGACACTGGGTAATAAGACACTGGGTAGCGAGACACTGGGTAGTGAGACACTGGGTAGCGAGACACTGGGTAGTGAGACTGCTAGTGAGACACTGGGTAGCGAGACACTGGGCGGTGAGACACTGGTGGTGAGACACTGGGTAGCGAGACACTGGTGGCGAGACACTGTCTTTGGTGTAGGCCAATCAGTCTCAAAGGCAATGCCTCTAACAACATCATCATCATTATTATTATCAGAGCCACGTGCGTTTCCACGTTCTCCACAAGTCCTGTGCGCGTGGTTCACGCAGACACTTTGATTCCTTGCAAAAGGTTTGATCTTATTTGATGTTTGAAATATCTCTAACACAACTCTTGCGCTATTGCCGGAGAGGGGGTTCAATTCGTGTCGTTTCAAACACCACCGGCCGCAGCCAATGGGCAAAGTTGCTTCACGGTAAACACAAAACGCGCCGATTCTAAAACGTGGAGGGGATAAACAAAAACAACGAAAACCCAGAGAGAACGATCCTCGCCATCACCCACGGGGGGGGGGACAGAGAGAGAGACACAAACACTCCAGGCGTCGTCAGGGTCCGGGATCGAACCCACGACCCCCTCCTGTATACCAGGCGAGGTAGTCAACATCTCCTAGCCGCCGTGGGCCAAGCGGAACGCTGGTGCCGGCAAATCTTCCGCCTTTTTTGTGCCATGGGGGTAGCTCTGCTGGAACTCGCGAAGGTTGAAATACCGGGGGTGAGAGGAGAGTGAGCGGTATGGAGACCTCGGGTTGAGTAATCAGCGCCAAGTGATCCTATACATGCGCTCTCCTGTGTATACAGGATCAAACTCAAGTGGAACCTATTCACTGAACCCAAGCACCCAGTTTGAAACGCAAGGCACTGATCCCTGAGACCCGGTCTCTACTCTAGACACTGGCCCTGAGACCCGGTCTCTACTCTAGACACTGACCCTGAGACCCGGTCTCTACTCGAGACACTGATCCCTGAGACACGGTCTCTACTCTAGACCCTGAGACCCGGTCTCTACTCTAGACACTGGCCCTGAGACCCGGTCTCTACTCTAGACACTGAGACCTGGTCTCTACTCTAGACACTGATCCTGAGACCCGGTCTCTACTCTAGACACTGATCCTGAGACCCTGAGACCCGGTCTCTACTCTAGACACTGATCCTGAGACCCGGTCTCTACTCTAGACACTGACCCTGAGACCCGGTCTCTAGTCTAGATACTGACCCTGAGACCCGGTCTCTACTCTAGACACTGACCCTGAGACCCGGTCTCTACTCTAGACACTGAGACCATGTCTCTACTCTAGATACTGACCCTGAGACCCGGTTTCTACTCTAGACACTGATCCTGAGACCCGGTCTCTACTCCAGACCCTGAGACCCGGTCTCTACTCTAGACACTGAGACCCGGTCTCTACTCTAGACACTGAGACCCGGTCTCTACTCTAGACACTGACCCTGAGACCCGGTCTCTACTCTAGACACTGATACTGAGACCCGGTCTCTACTCTAGACACTGACCCTGAGACCCGGTCTCTACTCTAGATACTGACCCTGAGACCCGGTCTCTACTCTAGACACTCATCCTGAGACCCGGTCTCTACTCTAGACACTGACCCTGAGACCCGGTCTCTAGTCTAGACACTGACCCTGAGACCCGGTCTCTACTCTAGACACTGATCCTGAGACCCGGTCTCTACTCTAGACACTGAGACCCTGAGACCCTGAGACCCGGTCTCTACTCTAGACACTGACCCTGAGACCCGGTCTCTACTCTAGACACTGACCCTGAGACCCGGTCTCTACTCTAGACACTGAGACCCGGTCTCTACTCTAGACACTGAGACCCGGTCTCTACTCTAGACACTGACCCTGAGACCCGGTCTCTACTCTAGATACTGACCCTGAGACCTGGTCTCTACTCTAGACACTCATCCTGAGACCCGGTCTCTACTCTAGACACTGACCCTGAGACCCGGTCTCTACTCTAGACACTGACCCTGAGACCCGGTCTCTACTCTAGACACTGAGACCATGTCTCTACTCTAGATACTGACCCTGAGACCCGGTCTCTACTCTAGACACTGACCCTGAGACCTGGTCTCTACTCTAGATACTGATCCTGAGACCCGGTCTCTACTCTAGACACGGACTCTGAGACCCGGTCTCTACTCTAGACCCTGAGACCCGGTCTCTACTCTAGACACTGAGACCCGGTCTCTACTCTAGACACTGATCCTGAGACCCGGTCTCTAGTCTAGACACTGACCCTGAGACCCCGTGTCTCCCTCCCCACGTCCCCATGTCTCCCATGCCCCCCGTGTCTCCCTCCTCCGCATCCCCGTGTCTCCCGTGTCCCCCCGTGTCTCCCGTGTCCCCCCGTGTCTCCCGTGTCCCCCCGTGTCTCCCTCCCCCCGTGTCTCCCTCCCCCCGTGTCTCCCTCCCCCCGTGTCTCCCTCCCCCCCCGTGTCTCCCTCCCCCCCCGTGTCTCCCTCCCCCCGTGTCTCCCTCCCCCTGTGTCTCCCTCCCCCCCCGTGTCTCCCTCCCCCCCGTGTCTCCCTCCCTCCGTGTCTCCCTCCCCCCGTGTCTCCCTCCCCCCGTGTCTCCCTCTCCCAGTGTCTCCCATGTCCCCCGTGTCTCCCATGTCCCCCCCGTGTCTCCCATGTCCCCCCGTGTCTCCCTCCCCCCGTGTCTCCCTCCCCCCGTGTCTCCCTCCCCCCGTGTCTCCCTCCCTCCGTGTCTCCCTCCCCCCGTGTCTCCCATGTCCCCCCGTGTCTCCCATGTCCCCCCGTGTCTCCCGTGTCCCCCCGTGTCTCCCCGTGTCCCCCCGTGTCTCCCATGTCCCCCCGTGTCTCCCTCCCCCCGTGTCTCCCATGTCCCCCCGTGTCTCCCATGTCCCCCCGTGTCTCCCTCCCCCCGTGTCTCCCTCCCTCCGTGTCTCCCTCCCCCCGTGTCTCCCATGTCCCCCCGTGTCTCCCATGTCCCCCCGTGTCTCCCCGTGTCCCCCCGTGTCTCCCATGTCCCCCCGTGTCTCCCTCCCCCCCGTGTCTCCCATGTCCCCCCGTGTCTCCCTCCCCCCGTGTCTCCCTCCCCCCCCGTGTCTCCCTCCCCCCGTGTCTCCCTCGTCCCCCCGTGTCTCCCATGTCCCCCCGTGTCTCCCATGTCCCCCCGTGTCTCCCTCCCCCCGTGTCTCCCATGTCCCCCCGTGTCTCCCATGTCCCCCCGTGTCTCCCCGTGTCCCCGTGCGTCGCCCTCTAAGTCTCCGTGGCGACGAGCAGACCAGCGGCCGCTGCCGTCTCCTCGGCGTCTCCCAGAGTCTCGGGCTGGGGCTCACCCCCAGGGTCTGCAGCCGGGGGGGTCGTGGCCGGGGGGGTCACGGTGACGTGGGGAGGGAAAGACTCGGAGCTGCGTCTTCGCCGCGCCTGCCAACGAAAGGGAGTTCGGACAACAACAAAGGCAACGGCTTCCCCGTGTCGCCCCAACGGACCGTACAGCCTAGGCAGACTGGTGGGGGCCAGGGCCGTGAGCAGCAGCAGCAGTAGCAGCAGTAGCAGCGGCAGCAGCAGCAGCAGTAGCAGCGGCAGCAGCAGCAGCAGTAGCAGCAGTAGCAGCAGTAGCAGCAGCAGCAGTAGCAGCAACAGCAGTAGCAGCAGCAGCAGCAGCAGCAGCAGCAGCGGCAGCGCCTATGAAGGCCGGCACTGTGGCGCGCCACGCCCGGCCGCCTTTGTCTCCCCCAGCGGCGATGTCTACTGCACGCCGCACCGGGTACTCGATCGAGGCCGAGTCGACCTAGGGGAGGCCCAGGACCGGTTCAGACGATCGTCACCGGCGGTGTTGGCGGCCGTGAGCGGGAATCGAACACGGGTCGCCGGGTTCGTAGCGCAGCGTGGCGCTAACCGCTGCACCACCGCTCCCCAGACTCACACTTTCACACTCAACAACAACAACCGCCATTCGCCACTAAGTGGCGGTGACGTCACCACGGCGCTTGTGCCAGGCTATGTGCACGTTGAGGCCACGTGAAGTGTCGAACGTCCGCTAGCAGGAGGTCACGGGGCAGACCCAGGTGCCACGGGTCGACTGACTGAGATGACTGGCTGATGCACCACCTGTGCCCCCTACTGTGCCAACCTGCTGTGCTTTAGCCACCCGGCGCTCCGCTCGTGGTTGTGAGCGTCGCTCTTCCGCCCTCCGATGTTGTTGGAGGGCGACTGCCTCCAGCTGCCCAGTAGCGTCCTTCACGAGCCTCCCCCACAGAGGCCGATCTTGACACCGCTGGTACCAGTCATCGGCAAGTCCACTCAGCTCCACGTCCTCCTGTACCACATCACTCCATCTCTTCTCTAGCCCGTGCCGCGCCCGTTCAGCCCCCTCGATCCGGCCGAACAAAAGCTGTTTCGGCATGCGGTGGTTGGGCATGCGGGCTACATGACCCAGCCAACGCAGCCTTGCCTGCCGGAGGAGCTCACCGATGAAAATGTGTCCAGATCTTTCAAGGAGGCTAGCCTGAATGTTTTTAACTGGCGAAGATGTTCCATTAGGGAGATCCACATTTCGCTAGCGTAGAGAAGGGAGTGCATGACCGTGGCCGAAAATACCGGGCAGCTTCCACACAGCGTTACGCAGCCGATGAAAAGATATTGCCGCTCGACTGATTCGGAGTGAGACCTCTGCTGTCAGACCGGAGCCGGTCATGAGCACACTGCCCAGGTATGGGAAACTCTCCACTCTCTCCACAACTGCCCCATCACCAATTGGGAGTTGTGGGGGTGGAGTGTCTGATGGTACAAAATACCCAGGCAGGTGCTTAGTTTTGGTGGGGCTGATGGTAAGGCCCCACCTCTTAGTGGCACGCTCCAGTCTCAGCAGCAGCGTCTCCAACTCCTCCTCTAACTGAGCAGCAATTACCAAATCACCGGCATACAAAACGTGGTTGAGCAATAGGGAGCCATCCCTTGACCGCACCCGGGCATCGATCAGCCTCCCATTATATCTGTACCATATGGAGATTCCCCCGGTACAGCTATTGAAGGCTTCACGAACTACGTGGTCGAAATTGATGTCAAATAATGTGGGAGCCAGAGGACATCCCTGTCGCACCCCAAGGTGTACAGGGAATGGCTCCGACTCCCGGCCACGTAGTTTTACACCGGGCCCGCTCACCATCATGAAGGTCCTTGATGATCGTGAGCAGAGGGTCAGGGGCTCCGAAAGCACGAAGAACGACCCAGAGCCGCTGGCCTGCCGATGGCAACATAGTGCCGTGACCAGGTCAACAAAGCAGCGTCACCGTCCGGCACGGCCGCGGAGCTGGGCGGTTGCCATTTGCCGGACCAGCACACGCGCCCGCCCACGCTGCTCACCTGCTCTCCCACACGCACGACCCTCGCTCCCTCGTCGGGATCCGCTCCGAATCTCGCCGTGGGCTCCGCGTTCCCAGACCGGGTCCCGGGAAAGCTCATGAGCTCGTAGCTCCTGGCGCCGTCGCCCGGCGCGGCCCTCATCGGCACGTAGTCGCCCGTGGGGCCGCGCGAGCCGTCACCGAGCCTCGGCCGCACGGACTCCCCGCTCGGGGCCGTGCCGCCGCCTGCCTTCAGGGCGACGGAAGTCACGGCGGTGACGTCGCCGCCGCCGCCGCCGCCGCCCGCCGTCGCGGTCGAGGCGGCCGCACCCGGCTTCGACGACACGGTGCCGGCGTCCATCTTGACGGTGCCGGCGTCCATCTTGACGTCGCCCCCCACGGACGCTGCCGCCGTGGCGGCCATCTTGCCGCCCCCCTTGGTGTCGTCGGCGTCAGGATTCGTCGCTAGCATCTGGTGCTGCTGCTGCTGGTGGTGCTCCTGCTGATGGTGCTGCTGCTGGTGGTGGTGCTGGTGGTGCTGCTGCTGCTGCTGGTGCTGCTGCTGCTGATGGTCCTGCTCCTGCTGATGGTGGTGGTGGTGCTGGTGGTGCTGCTGCTGGTGGTGGTGCTGCTGCTGCTGGTGGTGGTGGTGGTGCTGGTGGTGGTGTTGCTCCTGGTGGTGCTGCTGCTGCTGCTTCTGCTGTGCGCTGGTGCGAGGAGTGAACTGCATGGGGACGTAGCCGTCTTCCTGGCGAGGGGTGGTGGGGGACATGAGCATGTAGCCCCCCCCCCACTGTGTGGGCTCCTCCTGGGGGAGGGAGGGGAGCGGAGGGGAGGGAGTGACGGAGAGAGGGAGAGAGGGAGGTTACACTGTGGTATAGTTGTGGTTACACTGTGGTATAGTTGTGGTTACACTGTGGTATAGTTGTGGTTACACTGTGGTATAGTTGTGGTTACACTGTGGTATAGTTGTGGTTACACTGTGGTAACGCTGTGGTAAACACTATGGTAACGCTGTGGTTACACTGTGGTATAGTTGTGGTAAACACTGTGGTAACGCTGTGGTTACACTGTGGTATAGTTGTGGTAAACACTGTGGTAACGCTGTGGTTACACTGTGGTAACGCTGTGTTAACACTGTGGTATAGTTGTGGTTACACTGTGGTATAGTTGTGGTTACACTGTGGTATAGTTGTGGTTAACACTGTGGTAACGCTGTGGTTACACTGTGGTAACGCTGTGGTAACACTGTGGTATAGTTGAGGTTACACTGTGGTAACGCTGTGGTAACACTGTGGTATAGTTGTGGTAAACACTATGGTAACGCTCTGGTTACATTGTGGTATAGTTGTGGTTACACTGTGGTATAGTTGTGGTAAACACTGTGGTAACGCTGTGGTTACACTGTGGTAACGCTGTGGTAACACTGTGGTAACGCTGTGGTTACACTGTGGTATAGTTGAGGTCACACTGTGGTAACGCTGTGGTAACACTGTGGTATAGTTGTGGTTACACTGTGGTATAGTTGTGGTTACACTGTGGTAACGCTGTGGTTACACTGTGGTATAGTTGTGGTTACACTGTGGTATAGTTGTGGTTACACTGTGGTAACGCTGTGGTTACACTGTGGTATAGTTGTGGTTACACTGTGGTATAGTTGTGGTAAACACTGTGGTAACGCTGTGGTTACACTGTGGTATAGTTGTGGTTACACTGTGGTATAGTTGTGGTTACATTCTGGTATAGTTGTGGTTACACTGTGGTATAGTTGTGGTTACACTGTGGTATAGTTGTGGTTAACACTGTGGTAACGCTCTGGTTACACTGTGGTATAGTTATGGTAAACACTGTGGTAACGCTCTGGTTACACTGTGGTATAGTTGTGGTTAACACTGTGGTAACGCTGTGGTTACACTGTGGTATAGTTGTGGTTACACTGTGGTATAGTTGTGGTTAACACTGTGGTATAGTTGTGGTTAACACTGTGGTAACGCTGTGGTTACACTCTGGTATAGTTGTGGTTAACACTGTGGTATAGTTGTGGTTAACACTGTGGTATAGTTGTGGTTAACACTGTGGTAACACTGTGGTTACACTCTGGTATAGTTGTGGTTACACTGTGGTATAATTGTGGTTACACTGTGGTATAGTTGTGGTTACACTGTGGTATAGTTGTGGTTAACACTGTGGTAACGCTCTGGTAACACTGTGGTATAGTTGTGGTTAACACTGTGGTAACGCTGTGGTTACACTCTGGTATAGTTGTGGTTACACTGTGGTATAGTTGTGGTTACACTGTGGTATAGTTGTGGTTACACTGTGGTATAGTTGTGGTTACACTGTGGTTTAGTTGAGGTTACACTGTGGTATAGTTGTGGTTACACTGTGGTATAGTTGAGGTTACATTCTGGTATAGTTGTGGTTACACTGTGGTATAGTTGTGGTTACACTGTGGTATAGTTGTGGTTAACGATGCGGTTAACACTGCGGCACACTGCGGTAACGTAACACCACCGTGGTGGCTGTGAGCAATCCCCATTGGGGGCTGGACAGCCGATTGCAGTCGGCTGGCCAGCCCCCCACCCCCTCCCATGGCACTCACAGCCACCAGGGCGGGCAACCGGGGATCTGTGGACGGGCGCGAGGGGGCCTCTGGCGACTACATTCAATCGTCAACTCACAGGGGCTGGGAGATGTTAACTACCTCGCCTGGTACGCAGGAGGTCGTGGGATCGATCCCGACCCTGACGATGCCTGCTGCTGCTGCTGTATATTTGGAGTTTGTGTGTCACTCTCTCATCATCATCATCACGGTGGCTGGGAGATGTTAACTACCTCGCCTGGTACGCAGGAGGTCGTGGGATTGATCCCGACCCTGACGATGCCTGCTGCTGTATATTTGGAGTCTGCGTCTCTCTCTCATCATCATCACGGTGGCTGGGAGATGTTAACTACCTCGCCTGGTACGCAGGAGGTCGTGGATTCGATAACTATGCCTGCTATATATTTCTATATTTTATATATTTTAAGTTTGCGTGTCTCTCTCTTTCTCTCTCCCGTGGTCTCCGGGTGCTCCGATTTTTTCACCCTCCACATTTACAATCGACAGTCGTGAGTATTTCGCTGCTATACATTTCCACGTGACGACAATGACGATGATGATGATGAAGATCATAAGCCGCCGAGCAGCTGTCATTTGTGATAGCCAGGGTGTCGCTGCCACACAGCAGCTGAGTGGGGCCTTACACCTGGTGTAAAATATAAAATAGTTTAGTTTTTACCTTCCTGGCCGATGGATTCATGGGCATGTAGTCATCTGCTCCTCCTGCTCCACCACCACCTCCTCCACGCCCACCACCACCACCACCACCTCCTCCACGCCCACCACCACCACCTCCTCCATGTCCACCACCACCACCACCACCTCCTCCACGTCCACCACCACCACCTCCTCCTCCACCACGTCCGCCGCTCAGGTCCAGTTCACCGTAATCCTCCGGATACGCCGCACTAGCGCACCTCCTCCACCCGCCATCGCGTCCCACGGGGCCTCCGTTTGCCACCGCCGTCGCCGACGATGGCGATAGAAGTGCCGCCGATGACGATGGGGCAGCGGTAGCAGCGGAGGAGGAGGAGGAGGAGGCGACGCCTGAGCAGCTTCGCTTGCGGAAGGATTTGTCCGTGGGACGTCTGAAACCGCAGCCGCTGTTCGGCGCAGACCGGCTGAGCACGAGGCAACCGTCGCCGCCGCCGCCGCGACGATGAACCCTCCGCTTCACCACAACCTCCTCCTCCTCCTCCTCCTCGCCGCCCTCGTCCGAAGAGGAGCAGGAAGCTGACGAACAGGAAGAGAAGGTGTAGGTCAGCGTCGGATTGTGGGACGCCGCCGCCGACGACGACGACGGAGTCTTCAGCGTCACCGCCGCTGCCGCCTTGCCGCCACTTTGCTGCTGCTGCCCCTGCTGCTGCCCCTGCTGCTGCTGCTGCTGCTCCTGCTGCTTCTGCTGCTTCTGCTGCCCCTGCTGCAAGCCGAGTCTGCTGGCGGCGTGCCTGGCCGCTCGCTGCAGAGACAGCGAGCGCAGGATTCCAGTGGGGCTCGCTGCTGCTGCTGCTGCTGCTGCTGCGGCACCGCCGCCGCCGCCGCCGCCGCCGCCGCCGGCGCCACCGCCTCGCCGTAACCGTTGCGGCATCGTCTTGTCTCCCTCGCTGGACGCGCGGATGCGGAACAAGGGCGAGACCCAGCCCAGGCCCGGAAGGCGGCCGAGCGAGGGGCTCCCGGGCTTGAGCGGCGACGAGGCGGAGGGGGAGGAGGGGCGAGACGGCGGGGAAGGGAGCAGGACGGAGTGGCTGTGGCTACGCGGGCGGAGGGCCGCGGGGCCGTCGCCCTCGCCGCCCTTGCCGCCCTTGCCGCCGCCCTCGCCGCCCTCGCCGCCCTCGCCGCCCTCGCCGCCGCCCTCGCCGCGGGGAAGGCCGCGGAGGCGGCCGACGGCCTCCGCCAGCGCGCCGCGGAGGCCGTCGGCGTGGGCCTCGTCGCGGGCGTCCAGCCACAGCTCGCCGGGGGGGTCGCCGGCCACGCGGAGGGCCACGAGGGCCCCCGAGCGGACGCAGCTCAGAAGGCGGCGCAGGGGGAGGACGACGCGGGGGCCCGGCGGCGGCGGCGGCGAGGGGCCGTGGGCCGCCACGGCCACCAGCGAGAGGGACGCCGGGCCCAGGCACAGGCAGTGGAGGACGCCGGAGGGGAGACACAGCGGAGAGGCCAGGCCCCGGGCCTGGGGGGGGGGGAGGAGGGGGAGGGAGGGGGGTGGGAGGGATGGAGAGGGGAGGGGGAGTGATATTATTGAGATTATTTTGCTGGGTATAATGTTCAATTACAGAGACTACTCGACTTACGAACTTTCAGAGATAAGAACAAACCTGTCCATATGTCCAGTTGTTGCCCGTTCAGACCGAATCATTAGTTCAATAGATGGCGGTGGTGGCATCTGCACAACACCACGGCTACTTGTGCCAGGCCAGGTGCACTTTGAGGCCACGTGAAGTGTCGAAGGCTCGCTGACTGACAAGAGGCCTCGGGACAGGCCCAGCAAGTGCCATGGGTTGGCTGACTGATGTACCACCACTGTGCCAACTTGCTACATTTTATCCACCCGGAGCTCCGCTCGTTGTTGTGAGCGTCGCTCCTCCGCCCTCCGTTGTTGTTGGAGGGCGACTGCCTCCAACTGCCCAGTAGCATCCTTCACGAGCCTCCTCCACAGAGGCCGATCTTGACACCGCTGGTACCAGTCATCGGCAAGTCCACTCAGCTCCACGTCCTCCTGTACCACATCACTCCATTTCTTCTCTAGCCCGTTTCATACCCGTTTAGACCCCTCTATGCGACTAAACAGAAGCTACTTGGGCATGCGGTAGCTGGGCATGCGGGCTTGTGAAATGTGGATCACCACCACACTGTGTTTAATAACAACCACCACCACGCTTTGTTAAACCACCACCACCACGCTTTGTTAAACCACCACCACCACGCTTTGTTAAACCACCACCACCACCACGCTGTGTTAAACCACCACACCGTGTTGAACCACCACCACCACCACCACGCTGTGTTAAACCACCACCAACACACCGTGTTGAACCACCACCACCACGCTGTGTTAAACCACCACCACGCTGTGTTAAACTACCACGCCGTGTTGAACCACCACCACCACCACCACCACGCTGTGCTAAACCACCACCACCACCACCACACCGTGTTGAACCACCACCACCACCACCACGCTGTGTTAAACCACCACACCGTGTTGAACCACCACCACCACCACACTGTGTTCAACCACCACTACCTGGGCCTCCTCTCCGCTCACCGCTAAGACCGGCACGTATCTCACACACACACACACGCCCAACACACACACACACACGCCCAACACACACACACGAAACACACACACCCACAATACAGACACACCCACAATACACACACAAACACACACACTTGCCCAAAACACACACACGCACCCACAATACAAACACTTGCCCAACACACACACAATACACAGACACGCCCAACACACAATACACCCACAACACACACACACCCACAATACAAACACACCCACAATACAAACACACCCACAATACAAACACACCCAAAACACACACACACCCAAAACACACACACACCCAAAACACACACACACACAAACACCCGGCCAACCAACCCGCACCCTTCTGTGCTTAGTACCGAGTGCGGCTGGCCTCCAGACGTTCTGGACTGTTCGCAGCGGCAGCGGTGGGGGCGGTGCTGCTGGCCCTGTGCCCCGCGATGTGGGGGGCGTCAACGAGGGGACCCCACACGGGTGCGGCCCAACGGCCACGCACGGAGGGCCACGTGGCCGGAGGGGGTCCACGGCCCGTGACGAGGAGGGGATGGCAAGCAAGGTCCGTCTCCCCGTTAATCATTGACGCGGGCGGTGGGGGAGGCAGTCAGTGAGTTGGCAGTATTTAGCATCCGCTCGTTTAAACAGAGCCTTACACTACCAAACTGACCCAAGACCATCAGAGAACCAGAGACTCGCATGGAACCATAAAGACCCACAGAGACCCATAGAGACCCATAGACTCCTCAAGAACCATAGAGAGCCATAGAGACCCACAGAGACCCACAGAGACCCACAGAGACCCATAGACTCCTCAAGAACCATAGAGACCCACAGAGACCCACAGAGACCCATAGACTCCTCAAGAACCATAGAGACCCATAGAGACTCACAGAGACCCATAGAGACCCATAAAGACCCACAGAGACCCACAGAGACCCATAGACTCCTCAAGAACCATAGAGACCCATAGAGACTCACAGAGACCCACAGAGACCCACAGAGACTCATAGACTCCTCAAGAACCATAGAGACCCATAGAGACCCAGACTCAAAGAGCACCACAGAGACTAACAGAAACCCAGAGAGATCCATACTCATAGATACGGTGGAAGTGGGCCTGAACACTTCCTCTGTCAGCCAGGGTCTCTGGGGAGGTTTGGACCGTGTACCCAATGCAGCTGCATGAGCCACAGTCCTAAACCTCGCCCATTTACCGCCGGAATCAGAAGGAGGGGTGGGATGATGCCAACCCCAGCCGCAAGCGATGATGAAATTCTCGCTTGCAACTTTCATCAGCTAGCTGCGATCATGCCACTGTGGGTTTGAATGCGGTCCTGGGTGTACACCCACCACCGGAGTGGAAGAATGGCAGCCGCATCTTACAGATGACAGGTCGATGGTCAGTGGGCAGATCAGCTCCACGGTAGGTCCTGGTGTCAAGGACATGGGCCCGCATCTGACCACCATGATCACGACCACCAACGCCCCCACCACCACCACCTCCATCGTCAACACCTCAAATACCTCCTCCATCCAACTTCACCACCACCATCATCACTACCACCACCATCCACCCAACTTTACCACCAACATGACCACCACCACCTTCAACACCTCAAATACCTCCTCCATCCAACTTCACCACCACCACTACCACCACCACCACCACCACCCAACTTCACCACGAACACGACCACCACCACCACTGTCAACACCTCAAATACCTCCTCCATCCAACTTCACCACCACCACCATCACTACCACCACCACCCAACTTCACCACCACCATCATCACTACCACCACCACCATCCAACTTCACCACCAACACGACCACCACCACCACCACCACCGTCAACACCTCAAATATCTCCTCCATCCAACTTCACCACCACTACCATCACCACCACCACCACCACCACCACCGCCCCCGCCGCCATTCCCACCGCCGCCGCCGCCGGTCACCTTGACGCTGACGAGCCACACGTCGTGGTACTCCGGCTGCCGCCCGGCGCCCGCGGCGACCAAGCGGTGCCACCGCCTCATCTCCTCCCCGCCGGCGCCCGCCAGGGACAGGCAGCGGCCGTCCGCCGCCAGCAGGAGCAGCGAGTCGCGGCCTCGCGCGTCCCGCCTCAGCGCCAGCGCCAGCAGGCCCGCCAGCGGCACGCAGCGGTGCCCCCGGCCAGCCTCCGCCCCGCCGGACCGCCGCTCCCAGCTGCGCCGGCTGTCGTGCCACTCCAGCACGGCGTCGCTCAGCCGGGGGCCGCCCTCCCGCGCCGGCGGAGGATCACCGGCGCCCCGCCGGGCCCCGGTGTCCGCGGCGTCTACGCCCGGCACGGCCGGCGTCTCCGCCGTGTCTCCGAGCTGCGTCGTCTCCGTGTCTCCTCTGCCTATTGTCTTCCAGTCTCCTCCGCCTATTGTCTCCGTGTCTCCTCCGCCTATTGTCTCCGTGTCTCCTCCGCCTATTGTCTCCGTGTCTCCTCTGCCTATTGTCTCCGTGTCTCCTCCGCCTATTGTCTTCGTGTTTCCTCCGCCTATTGTCTTGCAGCCTCCTCCGCCTACCGTCTCCGTGCCTCCTATCCCAAAAATATCGGCGGCACCTCGCGGCAGAGTTTCCCCGTCTCCCGTTCCTAGCGCCTCCGCGGCTCCGGTTCCAAAAATACCGGCGCCTCCCCTCGGCCGTGCCTCCTCCCCGTCCCCTCCCCACACGGCCCCCGCGTCTCCCCCGACGAGCGCCTCCGTGTCTCTGAGCAGCGCCTCCGTGCACCTCAGCAGCCTCTCCATGCGCTCCCGAGACGCCGCCTCCTCCTCCTCCTCCTCCTCCTCCTCCTCCTCCTCCTCCCCCTCCGCGTCGCCGCTCGCCGCCTCCCCGGCCGCCCGGCCCGCCGGCGCCCCTCCTCCGCCGGCGCCCGCCGCGGTGCCGGCGTCTCCGCGGCTTGCCGAGCCGGGGGACGCGTCGCTCAGCCGCGCCCGCAGCGTGAAGAAGCGCCTGCGCAGGCGGTTGCTCTGGCGCAGGTATCCGCTGTGCACCAAGACCAGCGGGGGGCGCCCTCTGGCAACGTCTTCCTCCCGGCAGCGGCCGGCGTCGCCGCCCGTGCCGCCGCCGGGTCCACCGGCATCACCGTTGCCGGCCATGTCACGTCGGTCAACTGGCCGCAGAGGCTGATGGTGGTGGGGAACGTGGTGTGAAGTGGCGGTGGTGGATGTATAGTGGTGAAGGTGGTGGAGATGGAGTGGTGGTGGTGGATGTGTAGTGGTGAAGGTGGTGGAGATGGAGTGGTGGATGTGTAGTGGTGAAGGTGGTGGAGATGGAGTGGTGGTGGTGGATGTGTAGTGGTGAAGGTGGTGGAGATGGAGTGGTGGATGTGTAGTGGTGAAGGTGGTGGAGATGGAGTGGTGGTGGTGGATGTGTAGTGGTGAAGGTGGTGGAGATGGAGTGGTGGTGGTGGATGTGTAGTGGTGAAGGTGGTGGAGATGGAGTGGTGGTGGTGGATGTGTAGTGGTGAAGGTGGTGGAGATGGAGTGGTGGATGTGTAGTGGTGAAGGTGGTGGAGATGGAGTGGTGGTGGTGGATGTGTAGTGGTGAAGGTGGTGGAGATGGAGTGGTGGATGTGTAGTGGTGAAGGTGGTGGAGATGGAGTGGTGGTGGTGGATGTGTAGTGGTGAAGGTGGTGGAGATGGAGTGGTGGATGTGTAGTGGTGAAGGTGGTGGAGATGGAGTGGTGGTGGTGGATGTGTAGTGGTGAAGGTGGTGGAGATGGAGTGGTGGATGTGTAGTGGTGAAGGTGGTGGAGATGGAGTGGTGGTGGTGGATGTGTAGTGGTGAAGGTGGTGGAGATGGAGTGGTGGATGTGTAGTGGTGAAGGTGGTGGAGATGGAGTGGTGGTGGATGTGTAGTGGTGAAGGTGGTGGAGATGGAGTGGTGGATGTGTAGTGGTGAAGGTGGTGGAGATGGAGTGGTGGTGGTGGATGTGTAGTGGTGAAGGTGGTGGAGATGGAGTCGTGGATGTGTAGTGGTGACGGTGGTGGAGATGGAGTGGTGGTGGTGGATGTGTAGTGGTGAAGGTGGTGGAGATGGAGTGGTGGATGTGTAGTGGTGAAGGTGGTGGAGATGGAGTGGTGGTGGTGGATGTGTAGTGGTGAAGGTGGTGGAGATGGAGTGGTGGTGGTGGATGTGTAGTGGTGAAGGTGGAGTGGTGGTGGTGAAGGTGGTGGAGATGGAGTGGTGGTGGTGGATGTGTAGTGGTGAAGGTGGTGGAGATGGAGTGGTGGTGGTGTAGTGGTGAAGGTGGTGGAGATGGAGTGGTGGTGGTGGTGGATGTGTAGTTGTGAAGGTGGTGGAGATGGAGTGGTGGCGGTGGTGGTGGATGTGTAGTGGTGAAGGTGCATGTGGAGATGGAGTGGTGGCGGTGGTGGTGGTAGTGGAGGTGGTGGAGGTGATAGAGGTGGGAATGTTGGAGGTGGTAATGGTGGTGAAGGTGCATGTGGAGGTAGTGGTGGTGGTGGTGGTGAAAGTGGTGGTAGTCATTGTGGTGAAAAGTTGGAAGAGACATAGCAGGGATTAGGGTCAGTGTCGTATAATGAATTGTGATCACGATGATTATTACAGCAACAGCTTCGAATTACATCTCCACGCTTTTACGTCATTTTGCAATTATAGCATTCCCTCATCATTCACGATGTTGGCTACCCGTGATTCGCGTCTGAAACTCTCTACACCTCTGCTGCAGAGACAGATAAAGTGATGATAGATAAAGTGATGATAGATAAAGTGATGATATGAATCTTGATTTGAAGCTTTCGTGACTGCAGGAAGAAAATCAAATAAATCACGACGTTTCGGGCGCAAGACTGTTCAAACAGTCTGCGTCAGCAGCAGGCCACGCTTTCCCACCTGATGATGGACGCTTGTCTTGTGCCCGAAACGTCGTGATTTATTTTATTTTATACCTACGTAACTTTACCGAAAGATAAAGCAATAAGATAAAGTGACGAGACATAAAGTGACGAGAGATAAAGTGATGATACGTAAAGTAACGAGAGATAAAGTAATGAGATATAAAGCGATAATACGTTAAATCTAGATGCTTATAGAGTGGTGAGCGTGCCGTCCGTCCCCAACACCTCCGACCAGCGCGGTTGGCTCCGTGCAGTGCCCAAGAAGCCCAACATTCCTACAAGCGTCTCTTAAAGAGGAGTATTTGTGGCTATTACAAATATCCACGTGATCGTTTGCGATCACCAGGGTGGGGATGGGAGGGGGATTTCACTTCTGACAAAGGATCTACATGGCAGCCTTACGCCGGGGTAAAATAAAACATTTTTTTAAAGCTTCAGTCATAGTTTGGTGTCGTATCTATCAACTGCTGGATGAAGGCCTTCCTAAGCCTCCATCATCACCATCAGCAGCCAGGATCTATCCACTGCTAAAGCCCCCCCCCCAAGCCTCCATCATCACCGTCATCATCAGCCAGGGTCTATCCACTGCTGGATGAAGGCCTGGCCTAGCCTTCATCATCACCATCCAGGGTCTATCCACTGCTGGATGAAGGCCTTCCTCAGCCTCCATCATAACCATCGAGGGTCTATCCCCTGCTGAAGTAAAATTGTATGTGGCACTGACTGAAGTTTTACTAACACGGATATATTTACACACACACACCATCATCATCATCACCACAATCATACACACCATCACCATCATCATACACACCATCATCACCACAATCATATACCCCATCATCACCACAATCATACACACCATCACCATCATCATACACACCATCACCACCATCGTACACACCATCACCACCATCGTACACACCATCACCACCATCATACACACCATCACCACCATCATCACCACAATCATACACACCATCACCATCATCATCCCCACCACCACAATCACCATCACCCCCCATCATCACCATCATCCACACTATTATCACCACCACCATCATCACCATCACCACCACCATCATCACCACCATCATCATCATCACCACCATCATCACCGCCATCATACACATCACCACCATCACCATACACACCATCATCAACACCACAATCACTATCATCACCATCACAATCACCATAATCACCATCACATCACCACCATCACCATACGCACCATCATACGCACCATCATACACACCATCACCACCAACATACACACTATCATCATACACACCATCATCATACACACCATCATCACCACCACAACCACAATCACCACCATCATCACCACCGCAATCACCATCACCACCATCATCACCACCACAATCACCATCAAAGACAAAGGTCCCCCGTGTAGCCTCTAACAGGCTGTAGGGGCAAGTGCTGTTAGTAGCGAGTAACAATAGCACCTATACACAGACAAAGATCCCCCGTGTAGCCTCTAACAGGCTGTAGGGGCAAGTGCTGTGAGTAGCGAGCAGCACCTATAGACACACAGACAAAGGTCCCCCGTGTAGCCTCTAACAGGCTGTAGGGGCAAGTGCTGCGAGTAGCAGCAGCAGCAGCTGTGAAGGCTACCGGCACTGTGGCACACGAGGGGGTGGGTGGCCAGCACCACGCCCGGCCGCCTTTGTCTCCCCAGTGCTAGCGATGTTCACTACACACCGCTACACCAGGTACTCATTTGAGGCTGAGTCGACCTAGGGGAGGCCCAGGAACGGTTCAGATAATCGTCACCAGTGGTGTTGGTGGCCGTGAGCGGGAATCGAACTCGGGTCGCCAGGTTCGTAGCGCAGCGTAGCGCTAACCGCTACACCACCATCACCTCCATCACCTCCATCATCATCACTGCCATCATCACCACCACCATTACCACCATCAACCACCACTATCACCATCAACACCACCATCATCAACCATCACCATCATCACCATCACCACCATCATCATCAACCATCACCACCATTATTATTACCATCAACCACCACCATCACCACCACCATCATCAACCACCACCATCAACCACCACCATCATCATTATCATCAACCACCACCATCACCATCACCACCATCATCATTACCATCAACCACCACCATCATCAACCATCACCACCATCACCACCATTATTACCATCAACCACCACCATCATCATTACCATCAACCACCACCATCACCACTATCATCAACCACCACCATCATCATTAACTACCACCACCCACCACCACCCATCACCACAGGTCTTATCCACTGCTGGACAGTAGACAAGGAGTTTTTAGTAGTGGTAGTGGTGGCGACTGTGAGGCGATTTGAGGTTTTAAACACAAACACTTTGTCAATATTTCCACATCAAACTTTTTACCGTACGCGCGACAGAAACTCCCCCACCCCACCACCGCACGAACAACGTTACAGCGTCTACGTTAAAAAATAAAAACTATAATAACAACATCAACATGACGTTGTTGTTGTTGTTGACGTGAGGGGAATGTGAGTCGCGAAACTCACCGAGCTCCATCGCCGCCATCGACTTGTTTACAGGGAGGGGAGGGGGCGGGGCGAGGGCGGAGGGGGCGGGGCAGAGGGCGGAGGGGGCGGGGCAGAGGGCGGGGTCAACCCCCACCCCTCGCCAGCTGACATTGGCGGGAAGCAGCTGCGCGAATGCTAAATGCCCTCAGGGCGACCTTGGGCAACGGCGAGCCGCTCACGCGCCACACCACGCAATGCGTGCCCCCAGAGCAGTTTGAGACTTTGGAACGCCGCAAGGGCGGACACGGAGTGGGGGCTGATGAATTATTCATGAGCGCGCATGGCGCGTTGCGATTGGTCGGCGCGTTCGAGGCCGCGCCCTGCGACGCGCGCTGATTGGATGAAGGGCGGAAGAGGGGCGTGGTATTCCTCCCACCCCCCCTCCTCTTCAAATGATGCCCGCTGATGATGATGACTGCTGCGGATGATGATTGCTGATTGCTGATGGCTGCTGATGATGATGGCTGATGATTGCTGATGATGATGGCTGATGATTGCTGATGATGATGGCTGCTGCTGATGGCTGATGATTGCTGATGATGATGGCTGCTGATGATGGCTGATGATTGCTGATGATGATGGCTGCTGATGATGATGATGGCTGATGATTGCTGATGATGACGATGGTTGCTGCAGCCACTGGGACCTCCGATTCACGTTTAAACCATCGGCGAGGCAGCGCCGCTTCCTCACCTCGCCACGCGTGTGATGAGGTTTGATGCAAATGTCACAGCGGCTCGCCCGAACGCTCTCCTCCTCAAGGTGACGAGGTGACAGGCCCGGTGAATGGGACGACAGACGACGAGTTGGGACGAGCGGACCCTGCGTCGTGGTTCTGAGACTCTTCTCGAGGGCCGAGTGGCCCCCAACGGCGACTGAAAGACCTCGGGGCGTCGTGGAAGCTGCAGCTCGTTGATTTGAGGACCCATCTTGCGAGGAGCATTCGCGTGTCTGTAATAAAGGTTCCGGTGGGCTGGTCCTCGTGTGTGTGTCTGTGTGTGTGTCTGTGGACTTGCCGATGACTGGTACCAGCGGTGTCAAGATCGGCCTCTGCGGAGGAGGCTCGTGAAGGATGCTACTGGGCAGTTGGAGGCAGTCGCCCTCCAACAACAACGGAGGGCGGAGGAGCGACGCTCACAACAACGAGCGGAGCGCCGGGTGGCTAAAGCACAGCAGGTTGGCACAGTAGGGGGCACAGGTGGTGCATCAGCCAGTCATCTCAGTCAGTCGATCCGTGGCACCTGGGTCTGCCCCGTGACCTCCTGCCCGCGGGCGTTCGACACTTCACGTGGCCTCAAGGTGCACATAGCCTGGCACAAGCGTCGTGGTGACGTCACCGCCACTTAGTGGCGAATGGCGGTTGTTGTTGTTGTGTGTCTGTGTGTACCCAACATCACATCATAGCAGTCTGGGCCACTGTACGGGTTCCGCAAGATTGGAAGGATGCCCTGGTGGTCCCCCTCTTTAAGAAGGGGGACCGCACAGACTGTAACAACTACAGGGGCATCTCACTCCTCAGTGTGCCGGGAAAGGTCCTGGCAAAGATTATTCAACATCGCCTTGCCAGGCACGCTGAGGAGAGGCTTGCAGAGCCCCAATGCGGTTTCAGACCAGGGCGGTCCTGCACAGATGCCATATTTTCTGTCCGTCTGCTACAGCAGAGGTGTAGGGAATTCCTACAAGACCTACATCTCTGCTTTATTGACCTGGTCAAGGCCTATGATACCATCAGTAGACCTGGGCTCTGGGTTGTTCTTCGTGCTTTCGGAGTCCCTGACCCTCTGCTCACGATCATTAAGGCCCTTCATGATGGTGAGCGGGCCCGGGTAAAACTACGTGGCCGGGAGTCAGAGCCATTCCCTGTTCACTTTGGGGTGCGACAGGGATGTCCTCTGGCTCCCACATTATTTAACATCTATTTTGACCACTTAGTTCGTGAAGCTTTCAATAGCTCTACCGGGGGAATTTCCATTTGGTAGATACAATGGGAGGCTGATCGATGCCCGGGTGCGGTCAAGGGATGGCTCCCTATTGCTCAACCACGTTATGTATGCCGATGATTTGGTAATAGCTGCTCATTCAGAGGAGGAATTGGAGACGCTGCTGCTTAGACTGGAGCATGCCACTTAGAGATGGGGCCTTACCATCAGCCCCACCAAAACTAAGCACCTGCCTGGGTATTTTGTACCATCGGACATTCCACCCCCACAACTCCAAATCGGTGATGGGGCAGTTGCGGAGTGGAGAGTTCCCATACCTGGGCAGTGTGCTCATGACCAGCTCTGGCTTAACAGCAGAGGTCTCACTCCGAATCAGTCGAGCGGCAATATCTTTTCATCGGTTGTGTAACGCTGTGTGGAAGCTGCCTGGTCTGTCGCTCCGCACTAAGCTTCAGGTCTTCTCGGCCACGGTCATTCCCTCCCTTGCGAAACGTGGACCCCCCTAATGGAACATCTTCGCCGGTTAGAAACATTTAGGCTGGCCTGCCTACGATCCATCCTGGGTTTAACCAGACTGGATTGTGTGAGGAGCTCACAAATCCTTGAAAGATCTGGGCAAGGTCCCATCGGTGAGCTCCTCCGGCGGGCAAGGCTGCGATGGCTGGGCCATGTAGCCCGCATGCCCAGCCACCGCATGCCGAAACAGCTTTTGTTCGGCCGGATCGAGTGGGCTAAACGGGCGCGGCACGGGCTAGAGACGAGATGGAGTGATGTGGTACAGGAGGACGTGGAGCTGAGTGGACTTGCCGATGACTGGTACCAGCGGTGTCAAGATCGGCCTCTGTGGAGGAGGCTCGTGAAGGACGCTACTGGGCAGTTGGAGGTAGTCGCCCTCCAACAACAACGGAGGGCGGAGGAGCGACGCTCACAACAACGAGCGGAGCGCCGGGTGGCTAAAGCACAGCAGGTTGGCACAGTAGGGGGCACAGGTGGTGCATCAGCCAGTCATCTCAGTCAGTCGACCCGTGGCACCTGGGTCTGCCCTGTGACCTCCTGCCAGGGGGGCGTTCGACACTTCACGTGGCCTCAGGGTGCACATAGCCTGGCACAAGCGTCGTGGTGACGTCACCGCCACTTAGTGGCGAATGGCGGTTGTTGTTGTGTCTGTGTGTGCGTGTCTGTGAGTGTGTGTCTGGAGGAGAGGCTGCCGTTGCTCTGTCGTGAGCTGGACCGGTACCACGGTGGACTGGTCCCAGTGTGTGGAGGAGCCATTCCTCTCCTCATGAACACAAGTGTCAGCGACGTCACTGCGGCGCCTGTGCCAGGCTAGGTACACGTTGAGGCAACGTGAAGTGTCGAAGGCTCGCTGACAGGTCACGGTACAGACCCAGCAGGTGCCACAGGTCGACTTTGGCTGATGCACCACCTGTGCCCCCTACTGTGCCAACCTGCTGTGCTTTAGCCACCCGGCGCTCCGCTCGTTGTTGTGAGCGTCGCTCCTCCGCCCTCCGTTGTTGTTGGAGGGCGACTGCCTCCAACTGCCCAGTAGCGTCCTTCACGAGCCTCCTCCACAGAGGCCGATCTTGACACCGCTGGTACCGGTCATCGGCAATTCCACTCAGCTCCACGTCCTCCTGTACCACATCACTCCATCTCTTCTCTAGCCCGTGCCACCCACCCACCCACTCACCCACCCATCTAACCCACCCACCCATCCACTCACCCAGCCACTCACTCACTTCTCACCTAGCCACTCACTCACTTCTCACTCACTTCTCACTCACCCACTTCTCACTCACCCACTCAGCCACCCACCCAGCCACCCACCCACTCAGCCATCCACCCACTCAGCCATCCACCCACTCAGCCACCCACCCACTCAGCCACCCACCCACCCACTCAGCCACCCACCCACCCACTCAGCCACCCACCCACCCACTCAGCCACCCACCCACCCACTCACCCACCCATCTAACCCACCCAGCCACTCACTCACTTCTCACCTAGCCACTCACTCACTTCTCACTCACTTCTCACTCACTTCTCACTCACTTCTCACTCACCCACTCACTCACTTCTCACTTACCCACCCACTCAGCCACCCACCCACCCACTCAGCCACCCACCCACCCACTCAGCCACCCACCCACCCACTCAGCCACCCACCCACCCACTCAGCCACCCACCCACCCACTCAGCCACCCACCCACCCACTCACCCACCCACCCACCCACTCAGCCACCCACCCACCCACTCAGCCACCCACCCACCCACTCACTCACCCACTCACTCACCCACCCACCCACCCACTCACTCACCCACCCATCCACCCACTCACTCAACCACCCACCCACCCACCCACTCACTCAACCACCCACCCACCCACTCACCCACCCATCCACCCACCCACTCACTCACCCACCCACTCACTCACCCACCCACCCACTCACCCACCCACCCACTCACCCACCCACCCATCCACTCAGCCACCCACCCCTTTCTCCCACAACTGAATCTCCACCACGCACACCGCTCGCCCACGCGGCTTGCAATGGAGATCCACGGAGCCCCCTCTTGAAACCCCAAAAACTCGAAAATTTATTCTCAGGAAACGCCACGGGGGGGGGGGGGGGGGGGGGGGGGGGGAGGACGGAGGGGCGGGCGGGGGGCGATCCAAAGACAAAGGTGACCCGCGTAGCTCACACACTGCGCTGGGTGGGTTGGGTAAAGGGGGGTTTGGGGGGGGGGTCCACGTGCTGTGATGAGGCCCGCTCGCACGGCACAACCCATGCCGAGTGTGTGGTGGTGATGATGGTGGTGGTGATGATGGTAGTGATGGTGGTGGTGATGATGGTAGTGATGGTGGTGATGATGGTAGTGATGGTGGTGGTGATGGTAGTGATGGTGGTGGTGATGGTGGTGATGATGGTAGTGATGGTGGTGGTGATGATGGTAGTGATGGTGGTGATTATGGTAGTGATGGTGGTGGTGATGGTAGTGATGGTGGTAATGGTGGTGATGATGGTAGTGATGGTGGTGGTGATGATAGTGATGGTGGTGGTGGTAGTGATGGTGGTGATGATGGTAGTGATGGTGGTGATGATGGTGGTGATGATGGTAGTGATGGTGGTGATGGTAGTGATGGTG